GTCACCAGGCAATATTATCGCTTATCGCAATAAATTTTGAGACAATTAATCGCCCAGCAAAATTTGTTATCGTGACAGGCCTATTCAGTTTTGGCCAATAATCAATCCTTTACGTTGTTTCTCAWTTAAGAGGCTAAATTTAAACACATGCTTGGTATTTTATCTCACTACTGAGTGATTCATTGACCAAATAAAATTAGTACAAACTAAATTGAGTGAATGAACTCAGACACACCAGTGAAAAAAAGGCCTCCTGTTGAGCTAGGGCAGCCATGGTTGAGTTATGAGCACTGTGGAGAAGAGCAGTGGAGGATATTTTTCTGCCTGGTTCAGTCTCAGTGATTCACTGTAATCTCTACTATTTAGACTTAAAAACATGCACACAGAGACCCCAAACACTCCCACTGAGATGATAGTGGGAAAGGCCACTGGGGCGAGCGGCATGAAAACTACTTTACATACATAAGTAGGCAGCTTACCGAAGCAGAGTGTCAACTCTGCAACCACTCAGACCACAGGCCCTGACTGAGTGTGATTAAAAACATCATAATGATAACGGTGACAACAAGGCCACAAATTACTGAAGCATTTGTTTTTTGTCGTTTGAGTATGGCCACAGACAAGTGTGTGTGGGGTGTTCAAGGCTGACATTGTAAATTTAAACCATAGTTGTTTATACACTCTTGAAAGGGCATCCCAGTATTACGCCAAGGTGTTCAACAGACCCAGTTCACTACAGGATACTGTGTCAGAGGCACGGTTTGTCTCACCTGAGTGTGAAAACAAAGCGCTTTAGAGCAACCTCAGCGCAGAAAAGAATGTGTTAGAATTTTTTTATCTCTCTTCTGAGCAAAATTCAACTAACAAGAATAATAAAGTTCTTCAAGGTGAGACAGTGAAAATGAAAACCATCATCCTTGACTGATATTACACCTCAACTCGTACAGAATGCTAAATGTCCAAATCTTTTGTTTGGGACCAAAAAGGATAGTGTGGGTTTATGATTCTCCAAATCGTTGGAGAATCCAGTGTCTCTAAAGAATTTTAAATACAATCTCCATGGTTTAGGTCACAAGCTTTTAAATATTGTCTTTGTTTTCTTAAAATTTCACAATTGCTCTATCAGGCTTTTACAAATTCTTTCACCAAACAGAAGCAAACAATATTTYGTCTACATTATTTATTTTCTTCCACTAGTAAAACAAACCAAAGGGGAAAAAAAAGGTAAAAGTAAGAGAACAACTCACCTTTTTCCTGTTCTCTTTTCCACCCACTTTTTGTGTCAATTAGTCTGTCCGTCAGTCTAGAGTCACTGTTTCCAGACGGGCAGGATTATATTAAGTTTACCTAAAAAAACACAAATTTAAAAGTTGATCAGCTCTGAGAGACAGCACTAAAAAAGGTTATGTATAGCTCTGATCATCAACTGGCAGCCCCTGCTTCATATCCGGCCCACGAGCTCATGCCATCGTTAAAAGTAATAAATTATTAATAACTTACACATAGAGCCCCATCACAGGAATTAGATCTGACCAAGCTCAGAAATAGTTAATGACAGCAGTAGCTTTGTCAATCAGAGAGTTTCTCGCGGCATGTGATCAGGCCCGACTCAGACCTTAGGAACGCTCAGGTGAGCAGCTTGTAGAAACGCTGCTGGTCAGCTCAGCAGGAGACACAAAGAGTCCCAAAAACACTAAAGAAACCAAGTCTGAGTCACACAGAAACTTTTTTAAATGTCAACAAGATTTAGACATCTACAAAATAGTATTTGCTATACAAAATGCCCTATGTATTCAAGACTTTTATGGACATTTTAGATGTCATCCAGATGTCTTTTGAACTCAGAAATGAGCACCTGAAGGAAAAATTAACTCTCAAACTAGCGAGTTTCCTCTAAGAAAATAATGAAATCCTGCACCAGGAGGTGTTAGACAAAGTTAATAAGTGAGAAAAATTAGAATCAGTGAGCTGAGCAGTAATTATCCTCTGCTATACAAGGTTTCCTTCTTTTAGCTTGTTTCCAATTTAAAGCATAAGAGAGAAAGTGGAAGATGTTTTAACACCGTAGAAAAATAAAATTCATGCCATAACATGATAGCAGCAGAAATTAAAAATAACTAAAGCAAGCCAGCCCTAATTTTCAGGAAAATGTTTTAAGATCATTACGTCACACTCCTTCACTGTAGAATTAAACAAACACCGCTAACAGGGCAGAGGTCAAAATTAGAGGCTGTACATTGCAACTGATTGTCAAAAGATTAAAAAACTTTAAAAAAGCAATTTYTCATGTGATGCTGTGGATCTAGACTTGCAAAATACTCGTTTAATCACGCAACACAAACAAGTTATGATTGAATGAGTTATTAATCTTGCTTGATTTCATTTGCACCACTCCACAATCAATAAAACCAATGCAGATTACTAAACCACTTAATGACAGACTATTTGATATGATTATTTGTGCATTTTAAAGATGTATTGACATTGTGGATGCAGGAATGATTCTACAGAGCATAAACCACAGTGTTCAATAATCAATGAATCACAACCTTCTAAAACCACACTTCACCACATGTTCGTCTTCATGTCGGAGAGACAGTCCTGAAAAACCAGATTAAACAAACTTGAGGTTGGCACGCCCCTTCCACAGTCACAAGGTGGTGTCTGACTGCCAAGAAAATCAAACCAAAGCAAACTGACTGCATTTGCTGTGAGTTGTTTGGGAAAAGAAAGGTGACGTTTCAAAGAAGAGGGCAGGGCAGGACTAAAGGTGGGTGTTGGTTGGTACGAGATTTTTGCAGTTCTGCAAGACAAACTGGTTCCAGGTCGACTTTAAAAATGCTGACACGTTCACATGTCAACTCAGAGAAAAAAAAATGATGCTACGCAAAGTTATAAGAAAAGTTCAGCTCACACAGTATCATTTTTGATTACAGAAAAAATCTCTAAATGGTAAATTTAGCTTGTATCTGGTAAAGTTTTGTACTAACTTAAAGATGCTGTCAGATTCATCTGTTATCACTATAGTTCATTTACATATTTTTTGTTTGTTTGATATTATAAAATGTTGAGCTTTTCCAACCACAGCACTAGTTTTCCTAAAAAATATTATTAAAATAATCTATGGCACACTTTTATCATAAACAATTAATTCCAAGCTTTGAAAAATGATAGTTAAATAAAGTTTACAGTTATTTTCCATAAAAATAGCAAATTTCCTGGGTTCATGGGACTTTTGTCCTAATTATACTGGTAGAGAAACACTGACCTTGAATAAAATTTATTTTATTTCTTACTTAGTTTAAAAGAAAAACTAGATTTTCTGTGAGGAAGGAAACAAAAACTTCAGGAGTTTTTGGTTTTTTAGAGTTAAAACAATAAATGTTAAATTAATGATGAAGTTTTCAAGGTCTGTCATCCAGATTAATCAGACCAAAACATAAATCTAGACTGAAAGAATTTATTTAGTTAGATACTCTACGTATATCTACAGTATACCGTGTCTGAGTCTTGTTAATCATTTATCACAACACACACAGACTTGGTCTGTTCTGAAGTTTAAAAATATACATTAAATATATATTTATACAATATATACAAACACAATATCAAGCCATACCTTTGAGTTAGCCCTCGTCAAGAAGAGCACTTCAGCAGAGGTTAATAAAGACATACAGAACTGTCAGATAACGATTTCCAACGGCTGGCAAATGATCTCAAATTTGTGCTAAAATGAAGTGGAGAAAAATCCCTTCTGTCTGCAGCATTATTTAATTTGCCAATCCTTCACACCTCTGTTGTATATTGTTAAAGATAATGACAAAAATCTGGGTGTCACACTGAGATGCAATGGTGAAACGAAGCGTAAACACAGACATTGTTTTACGCGGCAGCAGGTGGTGCAGACACTTGACTCAGTAAATAAAAACACAGCCAGTAAAATATTCAGCTTGTTAGTCACAGATTGTCAACATRAGTGACTGCTATTTGAGCACAGAAGAATACATCTTAAAAACACACCTGTTTGGAAACACAGGGAGACAGAACAAATGCCCACACCTAAACATCTGCAGATCTGCCAATAAATTTGTTGGTGCCCTTCCACAAAAATCAGAAGAACATGACCGGAGCCAGTACTCTGGAACAGAGTTAACACAACAAAAGGGATTTTTTTTGTAGATCTGAACCTAACTGAAATCAATATTTGATGAGAAACAGCACTCAATCCCATTAAAACCTGTGCTTTCATTAAAATAAGTCATAATTCTGAATGTGCTTCACTGTTCATTGTGCAGATTACAGATAAATCCCTTAATATATTTTTAAAACAGTAATTGAGTGAGTTAATGTTCTTAAAGTATTACATGTCATTTTAATCCCAATAATCTCCAGTGTAACTCAGTCTCACTGCAGTGACATTTGCCTGCACATCTAAAAGAAATTTACTGGATAAACAAAATAACAATAAATTGAATCAATTAAGGTCTTTGGAGACCAGTGTGTGTTTTAGTGGCGTTTTTTTGATTTATTATCTAAATGTGACAAAAACCAGACAATTCAAAAGGTCACTGGCATCCACTCTAATGCAGCAAAAAGCCCTGGAATTAGCTCTGTTTCTATATTTTATCATGATCTGAGACAGGCTGGCCCTTGGATTACCACTGATCCACATTACATCCAAAAAAATAATTTAAAAAAAGAAAACATGAATACAAGATCTGGAAGATAAAAAAGAAGGAATATGATCAGGTGAAGAAGCACTTTATTGTAGCAGATTTCAGTGATGTGAGACTGACAGGGAGAGAGATGCTGCTACCAGCCGTATGTAGAGTGAAAGAGGTGTTAAGTATGAGGTTAAGTCAGGTAAAGGGACACTTGAGATGAGAAACTGAGACTGAGTGAGAGCTGCCGGGGAGTTTCTGCACCGCGCCTGTTGTTCTGCATTGTTTAGGCCCCTTTGTTCTTCCTCCTTCCACTCAGAGACTAAAGCAATTCACCCAGAATRGGCCATTGCAGAGTAATTTACTGCTGACCACATGGCTTTATTCCCAGGAGCACGAGCTGAGATAAATTAAATGGCTTTTTCTTGTAGAGGAGATGATCTTGTAATCAGTTTAACTGAATGAGACATTTTCAAACTGAAAAACAGTCATCTACTCAGCTATATATAAAAATGAATAGCCTTAAATGATCAAATTATACTGAAGCTTTGATGTAATAAACATTGCACAGACTTTCTAATAAAGCTACCAGTCTCTCTCTCACTCACTCACTCACACACACACAAAGTATACAAATAACCTTAAAAAACACATTTAATTGCAATAAATGTAGACACCAAATCACAAATCCTGTTGTCAATCATTACAAATTTATATATAACTCAAAAGCTCAAAAWATTACTGTGATGTCCAACTGGTTCTGGTCCCAATGAGGACTGCTGGTCCTCACACAGTTAATGAATTCCCCAGAAAAAAGAGGTCCAGTGAGAAAATGAAAACACAAAAACACACAAAGTGATCAACAGTTTGAGTTTGAAAAAAACAAACACCCACCCTCAATTCTCTAAAGGCTTAAAGCCCAATTAGAAGTGCACCAACTTCTATTTAGAAAGGAAGACAATGTAATGCTGTTTCAGCACTACTGCACAAAAGATTTCTCACCTCTTTGTTCTGTAGGGACAAAAAATAAAAATAAACGTGTGCCATCTGGACTGAAAAATTTAACACGGTAACTTTTTGTTTTTCTGAAAATAAATAAATAAATAAATAAATAAATAAATAAATAAATAAATAAATAAATAAATAAATAAGGGTTAGTGGAAAAGTGATAGTAGGTGCACATAATCTTTTTTTTATTATTTTTTTGGGTTTATGAACATTTCTTATAGCCTGCCGGCAAAGGCAATAGGGCAATACTTTTTTTCCCTGTGTCAATGTGTTTGATTTTAATGAAATTCTCAGAAAGGAATCACTGAATGCACCCCTACAACCGAACTTCATTCAAGATGTTACCTACACAACCTCAAATACAAAAATGGCTTTAACTCTGTCGTGTACAGATATTGAGGTAAAATATGGCGTGTCAGTAGCTAAGAGACATCCTCAACATTTAGTTTGAGTTCTATCACATCTGGTCATTCACAAGGTTTAAACAAAACAGACATAACCAGCCCATAACTATAAACAGTCATTTCTCAACATCAGATGATCTTAAAGGAGACATATGATGTTTTTAAATCCTTCCTTTTTACATTTAAATCATACAGTTTGGGTCAATATAAAGTAGAACTGCAATGCTTTGGTCTGAATTCCTTCTTACTGTAGCTCCACAAGCACCCTGTATCA